CCATTGTGGAAGGACTCAAGTTTACTCACGTATGACTTTAGGTCCCCTCGTAAGGTTACTTTAACTTCAAGGTAGATCCAGATGATTTCCGCTTGGACAGGAAAGGTAAGAGAACGAATAACTCAGTCTGTTCCATCCCCATTATGATTTACGAGAATAACACACGCTCGTAACAGCCACAGCTGTACCAGTTACATAAGTCTCATACTTGAAATTGGTCCGATCTCTAAAAGGGCGGAAGGCGGGAGTTCTAAGAGGGCGGGAATCGGGAGAGAAATGCAAAATACTAATTAGTGTCATTCATTAAGCGTTCAAATACTTTTAAAAACAAGAACTCAACATGTTATTTCATTTGCATTTAGTGTGTTTTGGGACTTCTTAGCCGACGGGCAAACGAAAATTCAACCTTGGGCTACAAAATGAGGCAGCGTAGCTAGTTGACAAGGATGTGCTCAGTCTCGGACAAGGGCGGGGGTCGGGAGATAAAGGTGTGGGAAGAGGGAGAACAGGGTATGAGAGACGAAAGGTTTTTTACATTGTGGCTGAAAAGCCCCTATGGAGGAGTTTCAATAAATGTATGTAAATGTATGTATGAGGTTCTGACCCCCGTGACCCCTCCCTCTTGCAAGGAAAGATAAGCGAAACTCCAATACTAAAAAACTTCCTTGAGTTCATGTTAATTCTACTACAGTGAAACCCCGCTCTACGGACACCCGCTTAATACGGACACCTGCTTCTAACGGACAGTTTTCTTTGTCCCGACAACTAAAAAGGTCATATATTTTCTCTTAAATTAGCCTGCTTAATACGGACACCCGGATAATGCGGACACTTTATCATGTCTCTTTGGTGTCCGCATTAACGGGGTTCCACTGTACTCTTTACAAACCTATGTAAATAACCAGGAAGTAAATATTTCTTACCACTGGAAAATTCCCCCCTCATCTATCAGCACGGCTTATATTTAAATCCTCTCCTTTAGAAGAGTCCTAAGGAATGCAATTTCCATAAACGCTTCCGTGCGTCCATAAACAAATTTTACCGTGTCATCGATAGACGTATTATTTTGCTTGAGAGCTTTATCAACTACACCTCGCCTTTTAAGCTTCTCCATCTTTATCGAAGATGAACGCATTTAGAGAAGGAAAAACAAACACACTGCTATCGATCCCTGGCTTTTTGGATTGGATCGCGGGCTCAAGCCAGGTTAACTTATTATAATCAGGGCCGGGTTGTTCGGAGGTCGGCTAACGCTAACACAGGGTTAAAAGTTTTCCTTGAATTGAAATGTTTTTCACTCTTATGTTTTGTGTAGTGTAAGATTATTCAAAGTCAAAACAGAAGGCCAAACGATATAAACAGAAAACCTCACTGCAAAGATACAAAACATCAAAATTCTCGCTGATCTTGGGTTAGCGTAATCGGGCTTTGAATAATCCGGGTCGGGAGCTTCGATTTTAGCCTTGGCTAAATCTATATATGAACTCTAGATAACCTAACTTTAGCAACGTGAAAACCTCTGTCAACGCTTCTTCGAAGTTCGATCTGTCGACACTGAAGAATACACTCTCTACCTATCTTCTCTCCTTCAGCATTAACTTGTAAGCATGAGCAGATGTGTTGGCAAAGATAATGCTTGCATGCGCTACTGGATGTCCGTGATCTACGGACATTAGTTTTTGGCTGCTTCCAGAGCCCTCCGTTTCGCTGACCACGTGACTAAAAGAAAAGGAGGCTTCGGGGACAAGAATGAAGGGGGAGGGGGAGGGGGAGGGGGCGATGAGGGTGAGAATGCGCATGGGTTCTTTTTTCCTACGTGTTCAGCTACCATAGAGGGCGAGGGAGGGAAAAAAAGGGAATGGTCTATCCAACCCTCTATTAACCTGATTTGATGTTTGAGATTTTTTAATTGCGGGGCATCACCGCTCTTTATGTTCAAGAGCAGGAAACTAAAGAGATCGCGAGAGCGCATCAGTATTACATACATGATGTCGTAATAACTTTTTAACTCTCTGTTTAGATTCTCATATGGCTTTACAAAACGAAGGCCAAAGAGAGGGTGCACAAGCCCACAGTTCAAGGACTCGCAAAGGCGACGGTAACCGTAGTGACGTAAATAAAGTCAAGACTGGTGATGTTAGTGTTGGTTCAAACAGCACTGTAATCATCATGGGAAATCAAGAAGGCAGCCTTAGCTTGTAAGCTTCAAACCGTAATAGAGAGTGTGGTTTTGAAATATTATCTCTTTTGTACTAAAGGAAACAGAAAATGACTTAATCTAGTCTTTTGAGAAAAAGGGGAAAAAAAGCTGTTAGTGGCTGCGATTAAGTGACGTAAATCAGTAAATTTAATCAACTGATTAACGATATAGATATAACTTTTTACTTTTAAAGCTCTTGCCAAAAACAACCTGCCATAGTAAAAGCTCAATCCTTGAGCTCCCAGCTAGGATTAGGAATTTAAAGTTATTCGAGGTTTTGTAACCATTACTTCAGTTATCTTAGTCTAGTCTGTTAGCCTGTTAGCCTCAAAGTTATAACTGCGTGAGTAAAAATTTTATGGAACTAGCTATATCTCTATCATTTTGAGCGTCGTTACGTCCCATTACAATTTAATGAATAATGCTTGTAATCTTCTCCAACCTTCTTATAATAATCGCTTTCGGCATAATTCTTTTAATTATAAATTGTCGCATTTGTGGAATGAGATTCCTCTATATATTAAATAATCGTCGAAGTTGAAATAGGCTTCCGCAAGAAGGTCGAGATCATTTGATTTTTCTAGCTTAACGAACAGCTGCTAATGTAGCTGTTGTCTGTTATGGGAATTTTAGCATTTTGTTTATTCTACTAGCGTTTGTATAAAGCATTTATGTATTATTATTATTTTTTTTTTTTTTTTTTTTACCGATATTCATATTCTAACTCTAAGTTTTATGAATATCTACATTTATATTTATTAGTTTCTCAGTTTTAATTCTTCGTCAACTGACAAGCACTTTATACATGAACCTCTGGCAACCTCGTCTACTGTATTGACAATTTAATAAAATGATTATATTGTATTGATTGTATCCAGGCTTAAAGTGTGTTCAAGGTTTTGATTTTGCTGGTATAGAAGGAATGATTTTCACTGCTAATGATTTCAGGAGTTTTGAGATTTATTTATTGCGTAAGAACTTCACAACAGTCATAAAACTACAATCAAAATTCGAACCACTTTACCACGATACATCGTCTCAGATTGTTTACGTGTTTTGTTGATGTTTGTTTATTACAATTGTTCTGCAGAGGTTAGGTCCGTCAAGAAATGAAATCATTTTTTATGTAGTTGTCACTCTTTTAGGTGATGGGGTGGTCTGGGGTGGGTATCGGCAACGAGTGTTGAAGACTCAAGGAGGTTCTAAAGCCTGCTGAAACCTGAATTGTCATATCTGTACTTTTGTCCCTGCCTCCCTCTCCATTTTCCCCTGTTATAAGGGCGCTGATCGCTTGAAAGAAAGTCCCGTGAAATTGAAAGATAGGATTAATTCACTTACATCATTACCGATTACATCACCGTTCATCACTGATGACATCACCGGTCATACATAAGCATAGTCAAAGGAGTTCAGTCACGGAATTTTTAGTTATTTAGGCCACGTACAAAATTACCTTTTAATTAAAGGAAAAGTGAAAAAAGTAGTTTACTAAGATAGAAAAACACTAGATAGATAATAGTAAACCATAAAAGAACCATGATTGTTGAGGATGGAAAAGATTAACATGGATAACAAACAACGAACTTGAAATATTTAGGCTAAACTTTTCAAAATGAGCAAACTGTGACGTAGCTCCTTTAACGTGACGAACGTTTTATTCCGGATTAAAAACCAGCGAAAAACAGAAAGTCATATTTGTCTTCATTCGTAACAGCCGATTGTGCAAAGATAATCACCATAGGACCCTATAGAGGTATTGAAAGACTGCAAACTTCACTGCAATACCTTTCTCTCGGACAGTTTGTGAGAACGCCAAGTAAAATGGGCCAACGAACCACATCCGCCAGAAGACAAAAGTACATGCTATGCTATTCACCTTCTAAACTACAGCGAACGTCAAGATGCTTGATAAAGGAAAAGATCGAACCTCATGGGTTTTTACGATTTTCTCCCCTTTATATATACACAGGTAAACAAGAACGGATACATGTGCAAGAACACTCTAAATGAGAGATTTCTTTTTCCTGTGCTTGTGTGAGGGTTACAAATGGCGTTGTGATCACGATTGATGCAAAAATTTTAACAAGGATTACGCGTTACATATACTTTTAGAAATGCTATTTCTATCAGAAATTCAAGATTCACGCATATGTCGCTTAGATGCTTTTCACGCCCCACGCTGAAATGCACCCATCACGTGCAACGTATAAATAAACCTTTTGCCACCCTATTTGTGTGTTGTGTGTATGCTCGCGCTTGTGCTTGAGACAGATGTTTCACGCGCTTTGTTTTGCTAATACTTTCTCTTGATTAGTTCTTTGGAAAAAGACTTTCTCGAATTCACTGACAGACTTTTAAAGACGGCGACAAAATCCAATAAAGAAACAATTTCTCTATGCAGCAAGACAGCTTTTCGATTTCCAAGAATACAAAGATAGTAACAATGGTTTTAATTTTAATCTAATTTTCACTCACGAATTCAGCTCGAAGATGAGGCGAAATTCTTTATTCATCCCGTTTCTGGACTTGTAACTTGCGATTTGAAGAGCTTGTAAGCCTGGTCGCACTGCAAGAAAGGAAGCATAGTAGAAAACCCGGAGGGAAAACAATATGCTTTAATCTGGGGGTAACTTTAGCCAGGACAAAACTGTGATAACAGATATGCAGTAACAAAATCGACAGACAGCCCTGAGGAACAATATGAGCATTGTTTGCTTCCGCGACACTTCAATTGACGCGTGCGTGTATATCTCATTTCGTGTACAGTTTAACTTTCTTCTTTCTCGACGATGCCATACTGAACTGCCCCATAACCAGGTTTAGCAACCTTTTGATCCTTCATTTCTTACTCCTTAGGGAAGGGACGTCTAATTACGCGAGTCGCGAAAACTCCTCACTGGTGTGTTTTTCGGTGGCTTATATAATAGGGTGAATCTGATCTCTTCCTTTGAGATAAGTTACTGCAGTGAAACGCATCTCTAAAAGGTACGATTGCATTTTCACAGCTTATATTGCTTAGTTTAGTGATTTGCGTTAACAACTCAACCTCGGCTCGCTACGTTTCGGTTGCCAACAATGTCTGTCCATTTTTTATCGTTCAATTAGCGTACAAACGTGCCGTCTCACTCAGTTATATGGCAGCCATCTTGACCCGACTAACAGGAAGCTACTCACGTGTCGTGTTCATTTATCCGTCAAGAACAACAGAGCACCACCATTTCGGAATACAGCTGAACTCTCAGGGGAAACGAAAATAGTTTGAAATAGCGGGATTTCGAAAGAGCCGATAGTAAATGACTAAAGGTTAAATCCAAGGGAAATTGTTTTAAGTTCGAAATAACGGGGAATTCGAAATAATCGAGATCGAATTAGTGCGATCCAACAGTATGTTCTGATCCATTTTCGTGAAACACTTCAATTGACTTGCTGCTTAAACCTCAAATATGTCTGATTTCTCGTCTGCGAAAATGAACACCAATACATTGTAGACATTAATTGTACCTTTTTGCGACTTGTAACTTGCATTTTGAATAGCTCACAAACCTCTTTGGAATACAGCAAGAAAGACAATAAGTAAAAAACTCGGAAGGAAAATAATCTGCACAACCTGAGTGTTTCGCGCGCGGACAGTGCTGTGACAATATGATACAGACACAAAACCAACAGCCAATTCAGTAGCCTGAGGTAAAATGGGCATTATTGTTTGCTTTGGCGACACTTCACTTGACGCTTGCGTACATATCTCAGTTGGTGTGCAGTTTTACTTCCTTCTTGCTTGATGCTGCACTGAACTACCAGATATCCAGGTTTAACCACACTTTCCCTTATTCCTTAGTCCTAAGGGAAGGGACATCTCAGCGAGCCACGAGAAGTCCGCACTTGTAACTTTGTGGCTTTTAGCAGATAGAGTGAATCTGTGCTCTTCCTTTTAAATAAGTCACTGCAGTGAAACACATCTCTAATAGGTTAGTGTGTTTGTTTTTTTCTCAGCTCATAACTAATGCTTAGTTTACTGATTTCCGTCAAAAACTTAGCATCAATTCGTTTTTGTTTCAGCTGCAAACACTGCCTCCCCGTATTTCATCGTTTTAATTACCATACAGGCGGGCAGTCACACCTGGTTGTGGGGCAGCCATCTTGTCCTGAGAGTTAGAAGACCTCTGACTCATTCATGTATTAATTTATCTTTTAAAAACAACAGAACACCGCATGTGTTAAACGTTCTGATCGAAAAATGCTGTTTACATTCTAAGTTGTGTTTAAACTCAGTTGAGTAGTACAACCTTTCCCTGCAGGCAGAAAAAGTAGATATATAACTTTCAACTGAATGACATTTTAATCACGGCCGGCTTCTGGCAGAAGGCTGTACTCGGAGAAGTAAAGGTGGATCGAGGGAGATAAATGTGAAATTTTTATAAATATTGATTCGTGAATACGAAATTCTAGAAAGGCCTGCTGTACGGGTCCGCAAATGATCCCAGTACCGCAAATGATCCCGAACCGCAAATGACCCCCAAATTGGACCGCAAATGATCCCGGACCGCAAATGATCCCCGATAGGGACCGCAAATGATCCCGACTAAAAATAACGAATGGCATGGATGGTGGGATGGTGTGGATAGGGAATTGACGTGCGTGAATACTGATGTTTTTATTAAAGCCATCTTATAATTATAATGGCTTACAACTTGTTTTTGTTTTTGTTTTTTTTTCATACTTTCGACTAAATTTTGTTGCTAACTACGATGTTGTAAATATCACCACTCAATCATCAAAACACGACTTGGCTTGCATTTCTTTGCAATTCTCAGTAGAATTATGATCAGTGCAACATACGCTACATATACTTCTTAGTTAAACATTGATATTTCGGTGTTATAGTTAAATCACATTTTATCAGCCATTAACGCCACTCGTCATAAGTTTTAAACTAATATCTAGCCATGAAGCAACTATTAAGGAAGACGCTGTCACCTGAGTAGACCCCACAAGCCTACAACGCTTCATCACTCTGTAAAACACCTAGTGTCAGGTGTAGCACTGGAAATTTGAGCAAATTTACTTTGTAATTTTTCCTTGGTCGTATTTTGGTTTTAATTCCTCGGAAATGACTACTTGACTATTCTAAGAAGCCAAAATTCCAAGCTATAGTTATAAAGTTCAGCTTCATGACCAAGCAAGGCCAAGGCTTCCTCCTCGTTTTGACAAGTTAGCTGTTTGATAGATGTTTGATACTATCGCCACCAGGATTTCGAGAATGTTTACAAGTACGTGTTTTTCTAAGACTTCTCATTCAATAGATCGTCTTCACGTAACGTGTTTTTAACCTCATCGGGCGTAACAGGCGGTATATTTATATCTGTTTACAATTAG